TTCGCTCTCAGGGTTTGATTTCATTTCAGAACTAAAATCCACTTCCCCTCTTGCTGAAGGAATAGTGTATCTAAAAATGGTGCTTTAGAATTATATTTTAAAAATACTGATTATTATGAATAATCATTCTTTTCCCAAGTACCCTAAAATTATGTAAGGACCATGTAAAAAGATGGCGCTATAACCTAAACTGAGAAAAAATATGAGACATTCAAATGAACACTTAATTTTAGGCACATAAACAAGCTCAAAGTTATCATAGCCCATGCTGAGCCAGTCCTGTTATTTTGTATTTTCTGAATGCAATACAGAAAAGATATTGGGAGAAAAGATGTTGCCGTCTAAGGAGAGGTAAATACAAACCCATTTAAACTGCTGTGTCCTTTGGGCCCTTCAACCCTTTAAGAGAAATTAGGGCCTGAAAAGGAATGAGCTGGGAAACAAGGCAGCACCAGCTTCTCAGCAGAAATAAACCAGATGTAATGGCCTGGCTGATTTGCCAAGTTGCTGATGAACACACAGTCTCCTCTTCCTCCCGGAGCCGGGAAAGGCCGCTGCCTTCAGTCTCCTCTGGGACTCGGTAGATGTCTGCCACCTCCCCATGGGCCATGCTCCCCTGGGTGTTTGCTGACTGTCCGATGGCTTTGCCGCTGCCCGGGACCTTTTGGGCTGAGGTCTGGGGTACGCAGGGAAATATCTGGGAAAGCCAGGGGCCCCCCCCCCCAACTGGTTTACAGGGGCCATACACAATCATGGCAGAGACGCGCTCCCCACCTCGCTGCCCCGCTCGCCTCTCCTCCCAGCCACCCCAAGCTTACCAGGGACTGAAATCCCCCCGGACCCGAAGACGCGTCTCCTTCTCCCAGCTGCCGGCAGCCGCGCGTTTGCCCCTTAGCCGCTACCAGGGCGCCCGGCGCTGGGGAGGTTCATGGCTCCATCGCCACCCTGCCATGGCAAAGCTAGCAGGGCCCGGGCCATGGCTGCCCGCCGCGGAGAAAAGGCCGAGCGGCCCAGAGACGCGCGTCCCAAAGGAAAGGGGAGCAGCCCCAGCCGCCACCCCGCCAGGCCCTGGCTGCCTCGGCCTCCCTCTCACCGTGAGCCGGGGGATGTTCTTCTTGCCCTGGTACGACATCTTCCCGCCGCGGCCTCTCCCTCCGAGCGGGCGCCCGCGGCTGGAATTCGCCCGCGGCAGGTGCGCTGCGGGGCCGGGCGTCCCTCCTGGGTCTCGGCTCGGCGGAGCGGCCGGAGCGGGCGGCTTTTTGTGGCGCCTCTGCGCGTGTTTGTGCCTGTTGTTCTTGGCTAGCTCGGTGGCTCCCCCTGCGCCGGCCGCCCCGCAGCCTCGCTGAGCAGCTGCCTGATTAGCATTCCGGGCTCATGCTCCCCCGCCAGCGAGGCAGCCGCGCAGACAGCCCGCCGGGGCCTCTCCCCAGCCAGCAGCCACTTCCCTGCGCTCCTGGCACCAGCGAACAAAAGCCGCTTCCCCCACCCCGCCACCAGCCTGCCTGCCAGAAAGGGAGCCAGCCTGGGCCAGGCCAGCAATGGCTGGGATCTTTGGGCAGGGCCCCATGGAGCAGGGAGGGGGGATGTCAGACAGAGCCTTGCCAATGGCTCATTGTTTCCAGCCTGAAACCACATATTTCTGTGAGTCCTTAAATTCTGGAGATTTATGCGCTGCAGATTTCCATGTATTCCCCTCACATGTACCTAGGATTGTACGCAGGGCAGTGGGGTCACCCGGGAAGCCCAGTGCAAGCTTCACAGTTATGTACTACACATCAGCACAAAATAGGCCTCTCTTTCCGCTGCGACCCTGCAGCCCAACAGCCCCCATGGGAGTCTTGGCTTGTCCACATCGGCACCAGGAACTTCTACCCGATTAGTGGCCTCATCAAGGGCTCCATCCTGCAGCCATGAAGCACTCACGCCTTTCCAGTGGCTCCCATTGACTTAAGTTGGAGTTGGGTTGGTCTCCGATACAGCAAAGATGTGAAGCAGAACCTGGTGTCCCGGGCTTGGAAAAGCTCCTGTCTTTGGGCCCGCAGGAGCTGGGACACTCTATAAATTGTCCCTGTTCTGTTTACTCCCTTTGAAGCATCAGGCACGGCCCCTCTTAGAAGACAGAATCCTGGGCTAGATGGGCCATGGGTCTGCCCCACTGGGGCTAGACTGATGTCTGTGTGGCTGGTAGCAGGCAAATGGCTGTTAGGCGGCTCCCTCTCTACAAAGCTTGCTCCGTATCCCGCGTACCTCACTGGTGGCAGCTCCAGCTCTGGGCTGGTTTCTGCCCTATGGCCGGGAATACATGTGGGCTGCACTTAAAAGGCAAAGGCAAAATGGTCGCCTGACAAACTCAAACCTCCTTCTGAAATGAAGACACCCGCTCCCCCTCCCCCCAAGAAACTGTCTGAGACCCTCTGCTGAGGCTGATCGGGATTCAAGGACAGGGAATAGAGTAGCTCCGCACACCGGGAAAAAGGCAGCAGCCTTTGCCCACCTCCCCATTTGCTGTCCGCTGGGCAGCGGCTCACAGCTGGGCCCTCCCATCCTGCCGCTCCCATTGGCTTT